ATGCATCTGATACCTTTTTTCATTCTTTTTCATTGCAACGACATCCTAGTTGTATGACTATAACTGACTCATTTTCCACTACATACAGTATTCCCGGTCGTACCGAGTCATTCTGGAAGGAAGTTGATTATGTCAAGCATTTGTGGAAGAACAGGAAGGAGTTGAAGGTTGAAGATGCTGGAATTGCTGCTTTGTTTGGGCTGGAATGCTTTGCATGGTTTTGTGCCGGTGAGATTGTTGGAAGGGGATTTACTTTCACCGGTTACCATGTCTAAGAGCAACCATAAGGTAAAATGTTTCTAGGGATTGCACATGGCCTTTCTCGTCATTTGTGGTTGATCTGAACCGCGAGTACTGTACTTGAAATTTTTTGTTTTCCGAGACGAATTTTTGAAGCTGAGAAATCGGTGGGCAAGTTTGACAGCCATAATAATCAAATGTATTTGAAAGTAACTTGAATGGGATGTTGTTCGGTTATCTTTTTTCCGGAATCATGAATGATGCTGCTACTTTAAAATTCTGATTTGGATTCACTCTTTCTGTCCATCAATGGAGCTTGTATTTCTTGTTGGAACCACTCTGCCTTGTTCGGCGCCCCCAGCTTTATAATGGGGGCGTCGAACCCTGATGGCTAGAACGTAAGTTATTTGGAAACCAACCAATCTACTTTGGCATTATATTTCTGTTAACTGATTTTCATGTATGGCTATCCTTTAGAGCAAGTCAACCTCTAAAAAATGTGATGGCGCTCAACCCATTTAATCCATTCAGTGAACAGTGATATGTTCCCATGAACAGTTGAATTGGTCAAATGCATCTACACCCTTAAAACTAAATAGCCTAGTCAATTTGATTAAAATATTATTAATTTTTATTATAAAATAATATTTTGACTTTTAATTTCTGACTTTTTAATAAAATAATAATAATATAAAATAAAATTATTATTATTAAAATATTTTTATTTTTTGCATCTCCACCCTTCATCCTCGTCGCTACTGCCGTCCACCCCTCCACTTCCCTTCCATTCCCACCACCGCCTCCAAACCTCCTCCTCCCATCCTCCGACGTCGTCGCCCTCCTATCCTTCAAATCTCAAGCCAACCTCAATATCAAACTCTTCTACACCCTTAATGAGCGCTTCGACTATTATCAATGGTAAGGCGTCAAGTGCGCCCAGGGCCGCTTCGTCCTCCTGTCCTTCTCCCTCCAACGCCACGCTGTCGTCAGCATGGTGTCCGATGGGCCGTCCAATGGGTCTGTCGATTCTGGATCAACCTATGGCCTGGCTTGGGCTGGGTGCCAGCTTATTAGGCTGGGGTGGAGCAAAAAAAGGGGACGCCGGTCCATTTTTCAAGCTGGGTGCCAACCCATTAGCCTAGGGTGGAACTGCTCTTATAGTTGTATAATTTTTTTTGGAGCTATTGTTAGAATCCAAAACAGAGCACTCCATTGTTTATAGCCACGTATCAGTTATCATGTGCTCCTCCTTTTTATAGAGGTGATTTTCACACACCCCTCTTCATTCTTGATTGTCGGATTGAAAATTAAACGAAAATAACAGACAAGATTAAACAAAAGTAAAAAGAATGTGTGGTTATCATTTTCTATTACAAATTACTGGACCAATTTAAAATTGGAAAAAACGTTGTAGCGAGTTCAGAACAAAATTATTAGCCGTCCATTGTATGATTTAGTTGAACCCTCAATATTGTTTTATCACCCAAAAAAAAAGGCATTATAATTTATTTTGAAATGTTGATAATATTTGAAGTGCTTCATTCTCCAAAAAAAAAAAAATAATAACAAATACGGCAGCGAGTCAGGGACCAGTGAAGGGTACTTCAGTAAAATCATATGAAGTCATTCGGCGAATGAGAAACCGACAGATCTGAACACAAGGAAACGACAAAAGTATTACGCGGAAACGCCTCGAGAGCAGAAGGCGCCGAGGGCTTCAATTTCTGGTAAACCCGTTGAGCCCAAATAGCTAAAACGCGAGCAACAACAATGTCGTCAATGTCGCGAGACGCCGGCCTCCATCGCACTACACAGTTCTCCGCCGCATTCGCCGTCGCTATCTTCTCCCTCGCCGTCGCCGCCCACTGTTCCAACAATAATTCGGAGGTAAAATATCCTCACTTCCCACAAATTTGGAAAAAAATATTGAGTAAATTGTTTATAAAATGAGGCTTCTGGAATTTTCAGGTGAATTGCAGCCGCATCTGCGTGGCGGAGAACTGTAATTGTAAGCTCAATCTCTCTACTGCCTAGTTAATTTCTCAAAATTCTACTTTTTTTTCGGTATTTTAATTTGTATTTGATTTTAATTCGTTGTTATTTGTAAACTTAGCGGTTGGGATTCGATACGGGAAGTACTGCGGGGTAGGGTGGACCGGCTGCCCGGGAGAGCAGCCCTGCGATGATCTTGACGCGTGCTGCAAGATTCATGACGATTGTGTTGGCAACAAAGGTAGCAATTTTACTTTATTTTTGTGTTGTTGGAATTTTGGAAGTTTAAAAAGTATCATATTTCTGTGTTGTTGGAATGTGGTTGTTTCAGTTACTTCAGTGATTTGATAAGCTTTGGAAACTTGATTTTTGGATGAATGGGAAACAAAATGTCAAACGTGTTTGGCCTTTTGATGGCAGAAAGAATTGATCTTTCTATTATTAGAATATAGCGATGAATTGGGATAATTATGAGCAAAAACTTTTTGGTTGTTGTTCTGTTGAAATGGTTATGGTTTTATTTTTCCGAAGGATAGTAAAGGATGAACAAAAACCAACATGTCGTAGGTCGTACCCAATGCACAAGGCTCCCGCTTTACGCAGGGTCTGGGAGAGGTGAATGTCGGCTAGCCTTACCCCCATTTATGGAGAGGCTGCTCCCAAGTCTCGAACCCGAGACCTACCGCTCATGGGCGAAGGCACTTGCCATCGCACCAAGTGCGACCTGTACTTGGTTAAATTCTAGGCCTGCTCTGCTATAATGTAAGACACTTCTTGTACAAAGCAAGTTGGTTTTTGTTTAGCAAGTGATGAGTGAGATAGGGATTAACTTACACCGAGGAAGGATATCCTTCCCAGCGAGCTGCTCTCCCTCGGGAGATTAACTTACACCGAGGAAGGATATATCCTCATTATGAGTGAGATAGAAACAGCGGGGATATTTCCTCGTCAGAAGGTACTTTAAACTTAGGGCTTAATTGGGGGGTCGATGTGTTGGTTTTGTGGTGCATCCTGAAAGACAGCTTACACAATTTATATCGAAGTTCTGTTAACTACCAAACCAAGAAATTAACAAAGGGAAGACAACTTGTGCAACCGTGAGTTGGATATATTATAGAGTAGACACTACAATGCTCAAGCAGTTTGTCGTGAATTATGCACATAATGTTGTTTGTTCTTGGCATTTGTTTCTGGTCTGTATATGGATGATTGTAGTTGAAGGTCCTCTGATTCTAGTTATATGTTGGTTTTATAGGTATGACCGATATAAAATGCCACGAGAAGTTCAAGCGCTGCATAAAGAAAGTACATAAATCTGGGAAGTATGGATTTTCTAAGCAGTGTCCTTATGATACCGCTGTGCCTACTATGGTACAGGGTATGGATTTGGCTATCTTACTGAGCCAGTTTGGTAACTCAAACCTTGAACTCTGATTTTCCGAAGAACAGAGACATTTCCCAGGAGTGGAATCATATATAGCACCCTACCTACAATTTATCTCCAACACCCGTAAAAAGGGGAGTGGAACTAACTATGATTCAGTAAATGGATCCTCAGATACCTGATTTTGTGTTGCGTTGACTCTTATTCCTTCGTTTTTGCAGTTGATTCTTATTCCACAACAATGTGATTATTGACATGAATTCGACAATTGCTTAGCCCCAAAAATTCTCTTACTGTGTATAATGTACAGGAAGCGAGTTGGATTCGCTCTGATTTTTTCTTTTTGGTGATAATGTCGTGATTATGTTCGGAAGAATGTTATCTTGGTAGGTATTTAGGTATCTTAGAAGCGGAACTAAGCGAAAGCTTGGTCTCCAGGCATCTGAAATAAAGACGAACTCAAGCTCCTTGTTTGCTTACTTTAACTCGGATGATAGTGAGTCTGAGGAAGATCTTCCTAGGAAGATTTCCACCAGCAATGCTCATCTGAATACCAATATTTCTTGAAGCGTCACGGAGAGACCGGGACAATGTTTCATACAACATGCTGCAGGTAAGTTTTTCCGGACGAATGTGAAGTGCCATGAAGTGATTAGATTTACTCGGCAGTGTCCTTGTAAGACAAATGTGCCTACTATTTGTGTATGTGGTAAAACTGATGTTTTACCTCCCGAACTATCATCCTAGTTGAAATTGTTCCCCTGAACATTACATAGATTTTGTTAGGTTAGATGTTAGATTAGTCACTGACAGTGTTCGAACTTACGCCATAGAACTCAACTCCTTTCCACCACTGTGATGAAGGGCCACTTGCCAATTTGTTGTTAATTAAGAATATTATAAGTTTCAAATTTTATAAGTTTGAAAATTTAGTAAAGATATATATATATATATATATATATATATATATATATATATATATATATGTTAGTTCATTTGTTCTATGTTTATTGGTTGGTCCAAGGCGACCCGTAAGGTCATTTCTAACCGAAAGGTCCAGAGAGTCGAAAATAGCCCGAAAATCGTCTCCAACTGAGGGTCAGGCCAAATGGCTCGATGGGCCCCATTGGACAAAAAAGGGCCAAAGGGCCAATTGGTAGTCCGGGCCGGGCCACAATTTCAAACACAACGGCTAGCTAACGTTAGTGTGATGCCAGTTAGCAACGGTTAGTTGACGTCAGTTACCGTTAGATTTGAAATTTTTTTTTTTGGGCCAAATTTTTTAAATATATTTTTTTTTTAATTCTCATTTTTTCATATAAATACGTAAGCCACTCCTGTACCATTTGTCACATAATTTTCACCATTCCTACACCCTTTCAATTTTCATATTTTCTTACCTCTTCCAATAATTTTTCCTTCAATTTTTTCAATAATTTTCAAATGGCCTCATTTGCAATGAAAGGTAGGGTTTAGACCCGAAAAGAAGATGAAGCTCTTTGCATGGCTTATAGATGGGTCTTGGAAGATAGTGTAAGGGGGAGTTCTTAAACAAGTGAAAGTGTTTGGACTCGTGTGTCCAAAAAAATAATATGAGTTCTATGAAGGCACCACTCCATCGAATACCCGAAACCACGAGAGTTGTTCTTCAAGATGAAAAAAACATCTTCATCCAAGTTTGAATGAATGACATCAAGCATTGTTAGCAGCCGCAAGTAGATATGAAAGCGGCGCCAATTACTACGACGAAGTAAGTGTTTTCACAATTTATTTTAAATATTTAATTATATTACATTTAATTTCATAAATTAATTTCCCTTAATTTTTGTAATTATATTTAATTATATTACATTTAATTTCATAAATTAATTTCCTTTAATTTTCGTAATTATATTTTATAGGTACTCAAAGCGGAGGAATTGTATATGAAGGGCAGCTCGAAACCCTTTTAGCATCATGGTTGTTGGGAAATTTGTAAAATGTGGGTGTTATTTGAAGATCCACCTCAACATAGAGCAGGTCCTGCGCCGGTGTTCGAAATTGCATCCTCAACTGTATATGTGGATGAAGATGGATCTCCTACCATTCAAGAAACAAGGGTAGAAAATTTGTCTTTGGGCAAAGGTTTCATACCTAGGGCTATGAGAGGAAACAAGGCCCGAAGATTGATGGAAAATGGCAAGGCAAAGGATGATTACGCCGCTCAACAGGAAGTGGCGGCCTCATTGCGATTAATGGTGGAGCAAAATGCCTTTGCTGTGGAAGACATGAACCGTAGGCATGAAGAACAGGCCAAACAAATACAAGAAGAGATGGATGATAGGAATATGCAAAGCAACACTTCGGATTACACTCCAATGAGTAAGGCCTATTTTGATAAAAAAAAGAGGGAAATTATGGCCCGACGGCAGTTGTTTACCTTCAACTATACTCCTACAATGGTGGATGATGAAGATGATGTTGATCATGGACTTTAAATTTAAGTTGTTATAGTTTTTAAATTTCAATTGTAGTTTTTAAATTTAAGTAATAAATTATGTTTGGCCCTATGATCCTTGGCCCTTGGTTGGAGATGATTTTTTATCACATGACTATGTTTAGCTCTTGATTGAAGATGGTAAGAAATACAACTTTGCATTGTTTATTAAAATATTAATTTCTTTGAAGATTAGATGGTTAAAATGAACCATCTGACCCTCCTTTAATTGGAGATGCCTAAGAAAGACTAATATCAGTTTGACTAAAATGTGGATCGAGTCCAATAGTAGAGGTAAATTGGCTACTTTTAAAAAATTTAGGTCCTTAATTTATAAAAAAAATAATAATTTAGGAAGTCAATTTCGATTTAAATAAACAGTTTAGGCGTAGAAAGTTGGCGCCCACCTGAAAGCACACAAGTAACAACTTTTGCTGGCATTTAATTAAATTGGGCACATTCTGTAGTTATTATGACGGCTTGCAATTGTCTGAAATACTTGGCTACTAGTCGCTGCAAGAGAAAATCTCTAGCATCGATAGTTTTGAAATTAAGTTTTGTTGTATAGTATATTATATTTGGAGAAAGCGAACAACCATATATTCAAGAATTCATGTCAACCCGTTACGGTGGTTCTCAACTCAATTAAGTTCATCTTTAGACTTTGATTGAGTTATTTGAAAATTGTCCATTACATTGTTAATTACTCTACTTTACGGAAATAGAATATAAATATGAATAATTAGTGCTTGTTGTTGTTGCAGCTCTTTGTTGCGTGCTTGTATTTTTAGCTACTATTTACAGCTACTATTTACTGCTTGTACTTTTTTTTTCATATGTTTTATTTATAAAAAATAAAATATCTGGCTACCATTCTAAACTTATCCGCGCCACTTGGTGAATGAATGATTTTGCTCACAAGTTGGCTCGATTCCATGACAAGTCGTATCCGTTTTTATATATTTCGCATCACGTAATCAAGTCACCTGAGAAATTATGCAACTAGACCTATATGTGAGAGACATGTAAGTGCCATAACAAGTAACAAAATACACAATCATGAAATGACACCCATCATCATCACCCACCGGTATGGTTGCGGCCATCATCACATACAAATACAATGACGGCTTTGGGCATGTGCAATGGACGACATCGACATCATCAAATTTAACTATACACAAAATTAAATTAATCCATAAAAATTTTACAAATTATAAAAATAAAATTCTTTCATTTCGATGCGTTATTTTAGAGTTCCTTTATTAATCTCAAGTTTAATCATTCGAACGCTGTGTAAGAGTTCATATGATTCCTTTATATTAAGGAAATTTTAATTAAAAGCTTCTGTTACCGTTTATTTTATACTAAACTATTTACTTTTCCTTACTTTTTTTACTAATCCCAAACATCAAAAAAATTCTAATTTGTAATAATATTGTCACACGCTTCCCCGAATCAAAACGCCATATCGATTTCTTACGCTCTCAGAAAAATTCAGAAAAAAATATTAAAAATCGTATAAATTTCGCGATTTCGGAGCATTCGGTTTTGAAGATTCTCAATTCGAATTCACCATGCTTCACAGGAGCTTCAAGCCTGCCAAATGGTAATTTTCTCCCTTTTTTTATTGTAATTTTCAACGACTGTTTGGTTTCCGAGAATCCTAGGGGAAGAGAAAGGAAAATTGGAACAGAGTTCTGTAATTACGTGATGAATTTGCGCGGGTTGACTCAGCTACTGTGGAATTTTGAGTTTTTATCGTCGAAAATTAAGTATGGGAGTTTTTATTGTTGTATTGATGGATTTTGGCGGGTTTTTGGTGCAGCAAAACGGCATTAAAGCTCGCGGTTTCGCGGATAAAGCTATTGAAGAACAAGAAGGATGCACAAGTGAAGCAGATGAGGAGGGAATTGGCCCAGTTGCTTGAGACTGGTCAATACCGGACTGCGAGAATTCGGGTTTGTCTTGATCATCATATCTAATTGCAATTGATCTTCTGTTTTTTTTTCGGTTTTTCTCTGCTTGAGATTTTAAATTCAACGTTTTGGTCTTGTATGGTAGAGTATGCTTCTTGATGGATTTGATCCTATTGGCTTTGACAATATTTGTACCTTGCATTGTTCACTAGTTTGTTTAATTTGGAGGACCTGTGTATGAATATTGCATCTTAAGAAGGTAATGATATGTTTTGTTTTCCGATTATGTTGGTTGAAATGGATTCAATGGGCGAGGATACGCAGTTTTGCAAAAATTTAAAGTGTGGTGGTGCACTCGTGAAAGGCCAGGAAGTGAATTAGAAAACCGAACTTCTTGCCCTGGCTGTTTGTATTTGATGTCTGATTATAGTAGCAGACTCTACTGTTTTTTGAATTTCCAGTGTGCTAACATACATTTTTTTGCTGACTTTTACTCGAATCCTGTATCTCAGGTTGAACATGTGGTCAGAGAAGAGAAGACAAAGGCAGCGTTTGAACTTATCGAGATATATTGCGAACTTATTGCTGCACGCTTGCCTATGATTGAGTCACAAAAGTATGTAAATCCATTAATTCTTGAATGGTTTGGGCATCTTTTATTCATTCATATGCTCTTATGCTTAAACTTAGCAGTGTTTTTTTATGCATCAGTTACGTGGTCCATTGTCAGTGCTTCCCTTAACATTGTGCATTTTACTATTTTATGATAGGTTCATAGCTTATTCATGAATCTAGTACTATTAGCGTTCCTGCAACTAAGGATTTCTTTTATATTTTTACAGAAACTGCCCCATTGATCTGAAGGAAGCAATTACAAGTGTAGTATTTGCATCTCCAAGATGCGCAGACATACCAGAACTCATGGATATTCGCAAGCATTTCACAGCTAAATATGGAAAGGAGTTTATCTCTAACGCTGTTGAATTGCGTCCAGATTGTGGCGTAAGTCGCATGGTATGTACCTTGTGCAATTTCATGGATAATTTTAATATGGAAACTAAAATATCTCCAGATCCTGCGTTTTTGGATCATGGATCGAGCCAAGTATCACAACTTCTTCTACCTATCCTGTATATTGTCCTTTTAATTCTGTGTTGAAATATGAACTTATTAGTAGGTGAGATTTTATGGAAAAAGGTTCTTTATCTTCATAGCATAGGAGAAACAACTATTTTTTATTGGGCCAATTACAGATGGTTGATGGACTTGTCAAAAGTCAGCACTCAGCAGATTAGTTTTATTGATCTTTTTATTTATTTATTATTAATATTATCGTGTCAGTTAGTGGAGAAATTATCTACCAAATCACCTGATGGCCCTACCAAGATGAAAATCTTAGCTGCAATTGCAGAGGAACATAATGTCAAATGGGATCCTGAATCCTTTGAAGAGAAAGAGTCCAAGCCTCCAGAGGACCTGCTGGTAAGATTTGTTTCCCTCTAGCCTGGTCCATTCATTGCTTGAGAATACATAGATATCATAAAACTAGAGCTTCACTTTAGTCACATTACATTTGATTGTTTAAGACACATCCGTTTATTGCTATACTTTTTGACATTTGAGCAGAATGGGCCAAATACTTTTGCTAGAATTCCTGAGGAACCTCCTCGTGGCCCACTTCCTCCTAATCATGATGTCAAGGCACCTTCTAGTGTTCAGGCTCCACCTCAAAATTATGGGAATTATGGTCCACCCACGAACTTTAACGAGCTGAATGCAAGATCTGCACCTCGCTTCCAGGATTCTGCTTCTTCAAATGTTTCTTCCAACAAAGCAACTACATCTGGCTCATTTCATTCAGAAGTGAGACCTTCAGGTACATCAATAATCATTGGAAGATGGTGGTTTAATAAGTTTATTATTTACAAGTGGTATTTTTATTTTATCCTGTCTCATTCTTAATTTGACATTCCCACGCAGGAAATCAAAATGATGGGATGGAAAATAGACATTCGTCTCCTGAGGATGGAAATTCTTCTTCACCGGGTAGGCAGAGTTGGAACATGCATTTTAAGGATGCTGCTTCTGCAGCACAGGCAGCTGCTGAATCAGCCGAAATGGCAGGCATGGCTGCCAGAGCAGCTGTTGAACTTTCAAGAAAACACTATTCAGAATCACAGGATAAATTTAGCCAGTCAGCTCCCTTGGCATCTGATAGAACATCCACAAATGATCCTTCGGTGAATAGGCACCAAATGCAAGATCGACATCCTGACGAAGTGTCAGATCGATATCCTCAAAAGAAGTCATCTGAACCTGAGAAGCATGACTTTGTAAGTGAAGTGAGTACGACAAGACAGTCCAGCAACACTAACGTGTATGCAAGTGAGGTGCAAACTGGAATGAAACTTGATAAAACTTATTATTTGGGTAATATGAGATCAGAAGAGAAATCAAGTAGACCTTCCCAATCCAATCCTATAGGTGAAGTGAGTGTGAAGAGACAGTCGAGCAACACTGGTGTGGAGTATGGGAGTGAGATGCAAACTGGAAACAAACCTGATAACGTTGCTTATTTTGGTGATATGAGATCTGAAGAGAAATCTAGTAGGCCTTCCTCCCGATCTAATTCAAGCATTGGCAGTGATGATCAGGAAGATGTTTTCAGACGGAGTGACGATATTTCTTATTTGGGAAATAAGAGGAGTGGAGAACAATCTATCTGGTCTTCCTGTCATTCTCATTCAAGAAATTTTAGTAATGATCATGAAAGTGTTTCAAATGGCCGTGATGAGGATTCTTTTGTTAACGATGTTAATATCTTCCAAAGCACTAAGGAAATATGTTCTGATGGAAATGCTCCTTTGGTTTTTGATGAATCTGGTTCAGACGACGATAAATGTAAATTTGATGTGGAGGACTACAAGGGCCAAGAACCCAGTTTGTTTTTTCCTTTTCCTGATAGAAACTCATTTTCTCCTTCAGCTAGTTTGTATCCTTGGAGCTCTAAACAACAGACGTATGAAGTACAATTTAAGTCCAGTTCACAACTAAGTTCTTCATCGGTGAAGCACTCCCCTCCTGTTTTTTCAGAAAATTCAACAGGTTCCATGGACTCTTCACAACCAAATGACTTGTTGCCTGTTGCTTTTGATGCGTCAGATGGCCCAAGTTCAGACAGTGAAGAGGAGGTAGACAAGCTTGCCAAGAGCACAGTTTCTAAATTTTCCCTTGTGCAGA